TTTCAAAGCAATATTCTCTCTGTCAGCGTACATTCAATTACTCATCCTCCCCGTCGCTTCGTGGCCGGTCTTATATATACAAGACTACACTATATCTAGAAGGATCCCGGGATTTAAGGAAAGGACATGAATGTTCGAGAACGACGTGGCGTGATACTAGTCACGTGACCTCGATGTCTTTATTCTTGTTACATTTAACGTTATTATATTATCAAGTATTGTTTTTAGCCGCGGATGAGCTGCTCATAGAACGGCTCTGAGATGTTTTAGTTGTTTTCCAAGTACAAACTTTTAGCTCGTAGCTCAGTCATCTCTTGACTGATTTGAGATCTAATTATTTTCAACTCAGGAGGTCAAACCCTTTCAATTGATGTATTTGATCAAGCCCAGGTCTCATAGATTAATTTATTCTATTCCCAACTAAAAGAATTTAAATTTGAGGGTAGGCTGGTAGAGATGTTGATGAGTAATAAAATCGGAATCGAGTATAAGGGCGCCACACGGTTGGTATTGCTATAAGGGCGCCACACAGTTGGTATTGCTATAAGGGCGCCACACGGTTGGTATTGCTGGCGCACAAGAATATAGCTAAGAAAAAAAAGGTCTCGTACATTAATTTACTGTAATATGACCAATAAGAATTTCAAGTGCCGGGGCTATTGAGGATTCCCTCTTGTTTATTTATTATTTTGTATCTTCATTAACAATGGTTTTACTGTGGGAAAGATCCTACTACCGATTCAGAACATGTGTCTGAATTATCACATATGTGACGTAAAGAGACGTGCTTGGAGATCAAGTTTACAAATTCAATACGACAATGGTTCAACACAACAGTAGTGAACATGTAAGATATTCATTGTTACTTTCATTGACAGTATTGTTTGTACTATTTAATATACTGCATACCATTATTTGTTAACTCGATCTATTGTTTATTATTTCAATTATATTATAAACATTGTTTTGCATTGTTAGCTTAATATCGGTATTTAGGACTAACCTTAGTCTCCGAAACTCATGAGGTATTATCGGGTTTACAGCCGAAAATGTGGCTTGTTTGTTTGTAATTAAGCACAAAGCTAAGCAATGGGCTATCTGTGCTCTGCCCCCAACGGGTATCGAAACCCGGATTCTAGCGTTGTAAGTCCGCAGACATACCGCTGTGCCACTGGGGGGGGGGCTAAAATGTGGTTAACAGCAAGGGTACCCAACCATTGAAACAATGCATTCTAATCTTTATATGTGAAAACGTAAGAAATACAAAATAAGTGTTAAAATTTAGTAAAATTGTTGTGAATTGACGTCACGTTACTCGAACCTTCAGTTGTCTCATTGAGTGTTGTTACATCATAACGGCTCGTAGTGTGTAGAAAGTTATAGGCTTTGCTTTGGATTTTCGTGGCAGGTCTTTCGATTTAAATTCTCCCGGGGGCGCTCAGAAGCAATTTATTCTCTTCACCCCGCTCATGATGAAAGTTATGGGCTACGCATGGAAAAATTATAGGTTTGTATCTTCGTGGTTTCGTTTTACTTAAAAACAACGACCATTATCGGACTTATGGTCCTTCAGGGCGGCGGGTATCTAAGAATCAAATGCCTAGGAACTTTGCTGTGGAGGAGGGGGGAAACGGGAGTACCCCGAGAAAACCCACTTTCACTGATCAGGCGCCGAATAACCTGCCTGACCAGTGCCCGATTAAACTAAGGTGGTATTGAGGCGACACGAAGAATAAGGGAGCGATAGGCGTGGGAGTCATTGTCATTGGTTGGCTAGTGGAGTTAGATAGGAGGCACTTGAAAGATTTTAGTTGGTTGGATATCTTGGTTCGAGTCTTCGTCTTCACTCGTGGAGGGGTGACAGGGATCTTCTGTATCAACGTGGTGTGGCGACGGAGGTGTCGATCTGCAGGGGGCTAGCAAGTCAGATGGAAGATTCGGAAAGAAATGGAGGATGTTATCTGTAGGAATGTTGGTGGACTCTGGAGGCGGCTGGGTCTGGGTTGCTTTTCTCCTCTTGCAGGGTTTAATTTGAGTGGACTGGGCGGTTACCGTTGTAGGGTCTGTCATGGCTGACATATCCTTAGTATCCAGGGGTTCTGTTTGGGTGCCTTGGCTCATGGTTGGGGTTAGCCTCTGGATTTGGGGTGTCTGGATGAAAGTTGGAGGTGTAGTGCGTGGTAAAGCAAAGACTCTTGTTTGTGGGTGCTGCTCTCTGATGATGGGTGGAGGGAAAGGCAGGAGTGGACGAGGAGGAGTATATACTGTATGGCTTTATAGTGAAATAGGTGAAATGAGAATCTGTGTGAGAATATGTGGTCAGTGGCTTGAGAATATGTGGTCAGTGGCTTGAGAATATGTGGTCAGTGGCTTGAGAATATGTGGTCAGTGGCTTGAGAATATGTGGTCAGTGGCTTGAGAATATGTGGTCAGTGGCTTGAGAATATGTGGTCAGTGGCGTGAGAATATGTGGTCAGTGGCTTGAGAATATGTGGTCAGTGGCATGAGAATATGAGGTCAGTGGCTTGAGAATATGAGGTCAGTGGCTTCTTGCGACGTGGTGACTGTTTTGATTAACAGTGTCGCCTTTCCTGTATATATTCCTTGAGCGAATCCAGTGCACTGCGTGTAGTTTAGTGTTGAGTTTGTTCTCTGTCGTCTTCTGGATATCTTCATGACTCATTGATTGTTTTATACCTCTTTAAAAAACGGAGATGAGATTGGATTGGCTCGTTGGGGGGGGGGCTGAATGAGACGTGTGTTTTTATGGGGTCAGTTGATATTCCGGGTTTGAAGCCGCCGATAAATTCGATGATTCCAAGTTCGGAGGCGGGCGTGGCATCGTACACGTCATATTGTTGTGGAGGTTATTCTCAGAAAATCTGCTAGCTTTATACGTTCAGCTTTTTTTTTTATCAGTTCTAGGCTTGAGTCGGGCAATATATTTATATAGGTAAGAAAGTAAGTTAGTGAAAGTTAACGTGAAGTTAAACTGTGTGTTAGTTTAGACGTAACAGTGAGTTTCACAGCTTGTATTGTAATAACAGAAATGGAGGAGAATAATTTATCTTGTCAAAGGGTGTTCTAAACTAATTGAACCCGCCTATGTAGACTTTGACGAAAAAGATACAATTATTTAAAATTCAGGATACAACTGTGATAACCAACACAAATTTTTATTATTTTAAAACAAGTGGATTGTGTGCTGTCCGTTTATTGTTGACATTTATCGCCAACAAGTCACAGACACCTACTGTAAAGAATCCCGGTCCCCATAAAAACCTGACAAGAGATTAATATGTTTTTAGACACGAACTTCAAATTACAAATATTTTCAGTTAAGTTCAACAAAACATTGAGGCATAATAATATTCAATTATTGAGTTTTATGTTCACAGAAGACTGTGCTGTGAAATGGTTTGTTTGTTGAATTTCTCGCAAAGCTACTCGAGGCTATTAACACTAGCTGTCCGTAATTTAGGAGTTACAGACTAGAGAGATGACAGCTAGTCAACACCACCCACCAAAAACTCTTGGGCTACTCTTTACCAACGAAAAGTGGGATTGCCCGTAAGATTACAACGCCTCAAGGCTTAATTAAAGGGCAAGTATGTTTGGTGACAAGATTCGAATCTGCGACCTGCAGATTGCGAGTCAAATGCCCTAACAACCAGGCCATGCCAAGCCCCAGTGTAATGATGAGACAGAATTTTTGTTTTTACTATGACAAATATTAAGATAAGTCCTAGTGCCAACCTGTAACACGAACATAACGTTTTCAATTATAAACACTGACACATATATTTAAAAAATTGTTTACAAACTTGAACAATATATTTCTGTTTTATATTTTCATATCAGGTGTGGTACAACTGAACTTCTTTAACGTTTTAGGCTAATGCGTCTAGCTGTCTTACCAGATACTCTCACCTAGTGGCTCAAAGGATTTGGTTTGAATTTCGCGCAAAGCTACACGAGGGCTATCTGCGCTAGCCGTCCCTAATTTAGCAGTGTAAGACTAGAGAGAAGGCAGCTAGTCATCATCACCCACCGCCAACTCTTGGGCTACTCTTTAACCAACGAATAGTGGGATTGATCGTCACATTATAACGCCCCCCCCCCCCGGGTGAAAGGGCGAGCATGGTTGGTGTGACGGGGATTCGAACCCGCGACCCTCAGATTGCGAGTCGAGCGCCCCAACCACCTGGCCGACTCAGAGGAGAGTATGGAAAGTTATAACGCTTAAAACCGGGTTTCCATACACGTGGTGGGCGCAGCACAGACAGCCCACTGTGTAGCTTTGTGCTTAATAACAAATAGAATAAACAAACACAAGTACGGTTTATTTATCAAAGTCTTACCAGGTGATTTTTTGTCACTTGTTACATCATCATTTCCTGCAGTTAATTTATCGTTTGTTATATTTTGAAGATCGTTGCGAGATACTTCGGCATCCAACATCAACTGCAGTAAGTCTGGTACTCTTTTCTGTAAGTTGGGCGAGAACAGTTTAGTGTTTAAAATTTGACACAACAGAATGTATTTTAAAATTGTTCTAACTTTGTTTATAAACTAACGAATGTAGGCTAAAGTGCGATACACTTGCAAAATGAAGGTTGTCGTAAGTTTTTTTTCACTGAGAGGGCGCTTAATTTCTAACCCTTTTCATCTTTCATCGGTAAAAAACAAAAAACATTTTGTTTCCCTAATTGTTTTCATTTTAAATAAAATAACTTTTAACTAAGATTTTAATATAACTTATTATTTCCTACGGAATTTAGAATGTGACCTACTTGTCGGATAACTTAGTAAAAATAAACTGATATATGTGGAATAAGCCGTTATAGCTAACTTCCCGAAATCCTGATTTCAATACATACAAACTTAGGCTTAGAAACAGCGATTGTAATAAGGATTCTTTTGTACACAAAAGAAATGAAAACAATGGTGTATTGTAATATTTGTACCTAATTTAATGAAAAACATTATCTGGGTAACAACATGTTATATTAAATTTTTAAGATATGTAATTGTTTTTAAATTCTATTTCTATTTTTAACGCTACACGATGCTATTAGGTTTAGAACGTACGACGAGAAGGCTTTTGATCTAAACAAACAGTAAAATAGACTTCGGAATTAAATGTTTTCATGTATTTCAAATTTAATCACTCATATGTTACGTTACTTTTGCTTTTACTGCAGATTATTGTATAAAATAATAAAAAATCAGAAATATAAATTCCCTGCACTATTGTTCTAAGAACTAACGTTAGGCGTGTTTATTAGTGACTTCAAAATTATCAACTTGAAGATTATAAGTCCTGTATTTCACATTTAATCACTCATATGTTACGTTACTTTTGCTGTTTACTGCAGATTATTGTATAAAATAATAAAAAATCAGAAATATAAATTCCCTGCACTATTGTTCTAAGAACTAACGTTAGGCGTGTTTATTAGTGACTTCAAAATTATCAACTTGAAGTGTATAATTCCTTTACTCACCACTAAAATCACACGTTTTGGTGAAAACACATTTTTTTTTTTAATTACAAATGAATCAATGAAATGATGTTCCGTTGACCTAATGTGTTTGTTTTAAAAAAAAGAAAACACAAGCATACAAAGTAAACGTGTTTTGAGTCTCACATATATTTTGTTTCCTTTCAAATATTAGGAGTCATTTTATTTTATAGGCCTAATAACAATATCTAAAACTTGTACTATATTTGAATTAATATTTACTGGTAATTAAAAATGTAATGGTTGCTATCATAAAAAATATGTACATTGTCTGAGTTTAGTGAAGAAATATATAACGTAACTCTATTTCAAATTATAATTGTAATAAATTTGTTTGTTCAGTTAATAATAATGAACGGGTTAGGCTTAGGACTATATTGTCTTTAACCATTTGATTGGCTCACCGCCAGATGCCACCACCAACAAACTATGAACTCGTACAAATGCTGCGTGTACCGTTTGGAAACTTTTACCACTGGGTAGGCCTAAATTCAATATAGTAGCACACTGGTCAAACAAACTTACTAAAACTATACATCGCTTTAAATAAATTCCAGCACAACATTAAGTTCACCTTCGAACACTCGGGATAAAGCAACAATTTAGCATTTCTAGAGTTAAACCTGTCAACAGGAGAAAACCACCAATTACAATAAACTCTCCGCATAACCAACCTTTGACTTCCAACACCTAAAATACATGAAAATATGACCTATAATTGGAGAATTAAAAACAACAAAAAGAAACTGTTCCGCCCAACAGGCCAGGACAGAAGACTAAACAACCTGAAGACTATAAACCTACAAAATGGATACCCTAAACTTTATACAAACTCCATCTTCGACACACAAAATAAACAAGAACAAAAACACTACTCGCCATTAGTACTACCACGTCACTGGCACCATAACTACAAAAGTAGAGTAATAAAATAATTTTTATCCCCCCCCCCCATCACATTGTTACAGAGATTGAGAAAAACCTTCAAAGACCAGATGGTTCACTCTGCTTTTACCCAGAAAAACTGGAGAAAAATGTACAGCCTCAAACAGTCTGTGACCTTGAATGTAAAACTTGCGGAAAGAGGAAGTACATCAGTGAAACAGGGCGACCCCTAACTATCCGTGTCATTGAACATATAAACGCCTCAAACAACATAGAACCAACAACAAAACGTACCAGCTTACCATTATTTAAATAAGCAAGATCCTTGATCTTGGAGTGAATCTTGTCATATCAACATCTAAGTCCTAGCAAATTCAAATAATGAAAATACACCGAAGCAACCTTCAAAATGACCCTTCCTTGACGAAAGATAACAAAGCCAGCTTGTTTAATAACAATTTATACGTCAGTTATCAGTGAATACTTTTAATTTAATTTATATCTTGTTGACAATTTATTTAACCTGCAACTTTTATAACAAATATATTTGTTATGTCATACGTACTCTTTCATTCATCCTTAAAATACATGCTTTATTATTTACAATACGTAATTTGAAACGGGGTGAACAAAAATTTACAATAAACACACGTGTTCTGTATAACTAACACTAGAGAACGTAAGTTATAAGTTAAAGAATTTCAGTGTATGTCTACTACATAAAAGGGAACCAAAAGTTTACTTTATCTGAAGACGAAGGTCGTCCAATTATTTCAACATATTTCAGTTCGCACTACAAAAGCTACAAAAAAAAAAGTTTTTTTATTACTTGGTTGGCATACAGCCAAAGAGCACATGGTATAACTTACACCTCTTATCTTCTTCTAACGCATGCGCAGCAAGAGCCCCCCCCCCCATATAATCCTTTTCATTCTGCGTTTATTTTCACCCAATAATTGTTAACAAAAACTCCTAACAACTTCGTAATGAATAATATTTTCTCGAGACGTGTCAACCTACCGTAGAATCTGCTCTTCTTTCGTTAATGATTTTTTCACATCCTTCGATGATTCTCCAGCCAGGAAGATAGCCTTCGTTCTTCACACGTATAAATATCACCATCAGAAAGAATGCCAAGGGTCGAAGTCCAGGAAAACATACTGTAAGAAAAATGACCCAGTTAAAGATGAATTATATTTCCACCAGTATGAAACATGAAAGAAATAACTTTTACTAAATTCCATCATAATTTTAAATAATATAGCTTACTAGCCTAAAAACCTACTACAAAATTAAACAATACAGCATACTAGCCTAAAAACCTACTGCAAAATTAAACAATATAGCTTAATAGCCTAAAAACCTACTGCAAAATTAAACAATATAGCTTACTAGCCGAAAAACCTACTACAAAATTAAACAATATAGCTTACTAGCCGAAAAACCTACTACAAAATTAAACAATATAGCTTAATAGCCTAAAAACCTACTGCAAAATTAAACAATATAGCTTAATAGCCTAAAAAACCTACTATAAAATTAAACAATATAGCTTACTAGCCAAAAAACCTACTATAAAATTAAACAATATAGCTTACTAG